ACGACGTTTCGGAGACTGGATCTGTCTCCGTCTTCAGGTGGATAGGGAAGGATAAACCTACCTCACTGGACCAGTGATTGAGACTAGCTCTTTCTAAGGGGCCCAACTGAGTAGGTTTATCCTTCCCTATCCACCTGAAGACGGAGACAGATCCAGTCTCCGAAACGTCGTGGTTTTTTTGTCTTTTTGTCTTTTACATACCAGACGATGTGTGAAGTCAAAAATAAGCCAAAAGAAGCACATATGCACCCTTGTTCTAGTACTGTTTTGCATTACACGTCACAAAGATGTAGCACAATAAACGGGTTCTTGATGTGATTAACTGACCACTAAAACTTATGTTTTATAGGATGGGCCAGAAATACCTCTCGGTATATGAAATGCAGCCACTCACTTCGCTGTTCCGCAGGGCTAACATACTGGCAATATTCGTGCCGTAGATTCTGTGATGAACACAGTGCTCTGTTCGATGTTTGAGTGAATAACATACAACTATCTGTACTTGTTTATTATATGAAACTGCATTATACCAACGCAGCGTGGTTCCTATTCGAAATTCTGTGTGAGAGTGTTTGGAGAAATAAATTGGTTCCCTTGCTTCACAAAAATACCGCGCATATATGTGGTCAGATGCATAAATGAGCTTCGACCCAACACAGAGCATATTCAAAGCCTGCATATCTCTTTGTAATTAATAGGCCAAAGCACCAATCATCTGTTGCAAGCATAGGTCTCTAAATACTTGAACAAAATAAGATTCAAATCCACGATCAATCTAATGAAGCTGATAATGTTAAAATTTATTAATGATGCTAATAGATGTTTCGAAAACGAATTTCATGTTTTTGTTAATTAATTAATTAATTAATCCATCCATTCATTCATTGATCAATGGCTCTACAGTCCTTTGTTGGGCCTTAGACTCTTCTTCAGCCCCGTAATCGTTTTTACACAGACGGTAGGACTCCTTGGAGGAGTGATCAGTCCGTCACAAGGCCACTACATACACGCAGAACAACACAAACACGGAATAAAAGCACACAGATATCCTTGCTTTAAGTGGGATTCGAACCACGATCCCAACGTCCGATCGAGCGAAAACAGTTCATGCCTGAAAGCGCGTCCACATTACTCGTGCTCGTGCTCGTGTGACTCGCTATGCTCGCGAGTAATGTGGACGATATGAAAAGTCAGGAGACAAGCAATTTTTTAATTTTTAACTATATCCAATAAATTAATATACGACTACAGCCTATACACACTACGATTAAATATACGGATCCTCACCCGCCGAAGCCTGGCGAGCGACTGAGGTAGTGTGGACGAAGATATACGGGCACAAGTAAAAGCCAGACGAGTCTCCCGACGAGCACAAGCCTGGCGACCACGAGCACGAGCACGAGTAATGTGGACGCGCCTTTAGACAGAGCAGCCACCGTGAGCTGCTATTTCATGTTCTATATACACGTAATTATATGGTCTTCTCTTTTATGTTCAGGGAAATTTGCAGTGATAACTTTGTAAAAATTGTACTGCACTATCGTAATTCTAGGAACTGTGTTACGTCAGATTTTGCACAGCAGTGTCTATGAAGAGGAAGTCTTCTGGGTACTGACGTCATGTAAGTCGGAGAGATAGCGACCCTTCTTAGGAATAAATCGCCTCCATCTTCAGAATCGAAATATATGGCCTTAAGACTACAAGATTACATAGTTTAAAATACTCGTATTTTATATAATTGTGTTTTTTAACGACGATGTATCTCAGACAATGACATTGAATTGCAACGTGATTAGTGAATTGGAAAGAACGTGGGAGGAAGCTTTCGTAAGCTAATCCATTGTACAGTCATGGAATTTGTCTTTAGGGACCTTGGCAATTGAGAAAAACCTCAGTCAGGAAAGCCGGGGTCAGTGTCAAGATTTGAAACCCGAACACCTCAAATATGGTACACGAGTATCATCTGCTCGAGCTGTAAATTTCTTCTTTCTCATTCTGAAGGAATTGGCCTGTAATGCCAAAACTGTCCTTGAATCTTTCTCCTAGGATGTAAAGTCCGTGTAGCCTGATAGGTAGTTCCATACATAAGACAGACGTCTCAACATGACATCCTATATTCTCAGAGAGAGAAACACGTAAGGAGAATGTGGGAGTAGATAGGCACCTTTGTGAGGTCTAAAATTTTTAACAAGTGTTTCCATCTATTTCTAGGTTCTCTTATATGCCCATTTCTTCTGAAAACCCAAAGGATATCAGCGAACGAGTCTTGCCGCGTGATAATAAGATTCATTAAATACAATGACCTTTTGAACAAGGATATGTTTAATGTTAAATTTGTGTATTACTGTCGGACCAATCTAAAGAATTGTAACGAGTAAGTAAAAGAATCCTTAACTCCCTTGCGTTAAATATGAAGGATTTTCTTTGACGTAAAACTAAAAAGGAAGCGTAAATATAATAAGGAATATTTTATACGTAATTTTTCTTTCATACATGATAATATTCATATAATGAGTATCATTCTAGTTGAGTTATCTGCCAGATTATTCAGGGGGTTCCCATATTCTGAGAAAAACTGAAAGTCCCATATTGTGAAATGGTCCCAAGAACTTTGCTTCAAATCTGGAACTTTACACACGGAGCCACCATTTCCGACGACACCATGGTGACATCACAGTCCATCATACCTATCACACTTCATGGCGTGCGACCAGTATCTTGGCGGCATGCTATACAATTGTGTTGCATGGTGGTTGACAAGTTGCCAGTGATATAAGTGGTTAGGTTTTGGCGATTTCTTCTGAAAGGCAATATCGCCACACGACTAAGTCTACGACGATAATCACTAAGCATAATAATTATAGACTTACTGGTGTAACTGCATAGGAGGGAGGTAAATGCTTCAGTTTTAAGAGCATTCGACAGTACCTGTACGATATATTTTAATTTCTGTACATGCGAGTTATTCTACATTTGTTGGGTTAGATGTTCTCACAGTGGTGACTATTAATAGTACTATCTTCGGATTTGAAATGTCGTGTAGTTCGGAAAAAGACTGACGTTTTTGAGGGTCGTATCGCCTCCATCTTCAGGGTCAAAGATGAAGCTAAGCAAGTAGCCAGAGGAAAAAAATCTCATAATTGACGCTTTGCGGAATTGAAGCCAATGCGCGTACATACACAATTCCGCGAAAGCTTGTAGTCTCTGTCATTCTTGTACGGTAGTGCAATATAATGGTTTGAGAGTGAAGTGAATCGAAGTTATCTCTAGCACTTCTGCGGTAAAGTTACCCGACGCGATAACGCAAGCCGGGGGCTGTGATTGTGAGCGCTATACAGAACCACGGAAGTGGATAAACAGTGCGTATAGATAGTGGAGCTGTCACAAGCAGGCCCAGGCCTGTCACCGAATATGGTTCAGATCTTTCTCATACGCACTCATTCTGAGCGGATTGAACCAAGCAGGGGAACGAAAGGAAAATCACACGTAATTATCTGCCTGATCGGGAAAAAGAGACAATTTATTTCTTGAAGAATTCTATTTTCTGGGGCATAGCGCCGTGTAGTCTCTTGAAGTCAGGTGACGCTTCGAATGATTGACTTTCACCGGACTTCATGGCGTTACAACAGAGAGAACATAGCTCTTCATAACCAGAGGCGTGAGAAGCCATATGCTACAGTATATTTGTACCGAAATTCTTCTTAACACTTCATAATTAAATGCCTTTCATGTCACATCTTCTCATATTAAGTAGACGAATGAGCGAAATGCGTAAATAAAGTTCACTATCTTCATCGCTTACATTGTAAATCATCAAATGAATGATACAACAAAGTACACTGGAACCTATTTGGCACTAAATTTATATTCTGTGGTACATCGTCGTAAAACCACAAGTATTATATTGATACTCAAATTTTATGGCAACAAATAGACATAATAAAGAGCCGATAGTGTATGAACTGATGAATGGATGACTACAGTAATTTTTTCAAAATTCCCGAACCCATGAAGTATACTTGTGTTTCATAGGTTTTGGTATCGTATTATTGAAAAGAGAATCATACTACACTTTAAGAAGAGACAGAAGATGCGAGACGACGAATGGAAAAGAATAAGGAGGGGTACATAAGATTCTGGAAATTGACCACACTTCATCTTTGAAATGTAGAATGGAAAGTTCACCCCACGCTCACTTTTCTAATTCCTTTCCTATTTTTATTGTTCTGTTAATTCATTAACTAATTGGATCGCATAAGTATACGCTTGGTTGGCTTCGTAAAATAACTTAAGCCATGATACACAAATATCAGCCACTGCTTAAAAGCTGCACTCCGTCTGCCCACTCAACTTGAGAGACTGACGACTTCAAAGTTTCCGATTCTGGGTGAGTGTCTACAACTGCTCCCCAGATGCGCGGACTGTCTAAAGGTGAACTTAGAGAGTAAGACAGATGCAGCACTCAGCTATCATTCGCCTGACTACTTACGTAGTGACAGAGAACGCATTCTACAGGCATGTAATCCGAAGAAATTAGAGATATAAAGTAACACTATATTTAATAAGAAACAAAACAATAATGAAACAACAAAAATACATGAAGAGTGTCCCTACACATAAATACGGATATAGAAACAAGTGTGAAGCAAAACTGAAGTATGCTACGTCCGTATGTACAGGGCGACGTCATCAAAACTTAATAATCACAATTGAAGTACGGAGTCAGACACAGAAGACTAAACAAGAAACACGAAATTACTATGCGAACGACCAACTTAGTCTAAGCTTCTGCTGAATATGCAATAAATATCACAACGGAAAGAAACAGGTCAACCTTAAGTAATATAGACTTCATGGACCACAAAGCGAGGCATGAATACAGTCGAATTCGCCATGCCCAGCGAGAAGACAACACAACGTAACTCTGCTCGTGCCTTCAACAAACATATACAGAAAATTTACTTTGAGTCTCTCAACAGAACAAATGAATGCAACCTTACCGGTAACAGGATTCAGCCGCGGGACAACGGTCCCAAGCTACCGAGACGTCCGTCCAAACCAAATCCAGTCCAGAACTTGAATTCTCGACTTACGATACACCACATCACGTGGTCTCACCAGATGTCTACGACGGAGAGAGAGAACTGGGAGAACCCACAAGTACACAGTACCGCACTCCCAGAAGGCCAAAGGAAGCCACTGGTGCAAGAGGAGGGCATTGTAAATCGGGTGAAACGGATCGTGACGTCATAAGACGTCACAAAATCAGAATCAGATTCGAAATGGGACGTACCGGCTACGGCCTCTGAGCCGAGTTTACATTTGTTACTCTCCATTTGGAATATACGAGGGCTATTCGGAAAGTAAACCCCGTTTAATTTAGGCAGCTAATGTAGGAGTGGAGAGAGCTCGGGCGTGCGATGTGGCGTTACATGACTCATGCCTTGTAAACTATCATATAACTGGTCATCTACAGAGTGATTCAGAAAGATGGACACAATTTCAATTGGCTATATTTCCTGAATTATATGTTGCATTTGAATTCTGTAAATTACACTTGATTATACATACATGGAAGTTTATAGATGTTCAATGTGCCCCCCTTCCTCAGGCTGCACGGATAACATCTAGACGGTAGCTGAATTCATCCTACACTCGATGACAAATATCTTGCGTCACTGAGTTCACCGCAGCTGTGATACAGTTTCTTAGGTCATTCAAATTTGTGGGAAGAGGTGGTACACGCCACACAGTTGTTTGCGATAGTCCAAGTTCTCTACTAGCACTATGGGTTGACTTCACTGGGCTGCGCTCAAAGTTCACTCGAATGCACTCCACGTTCTCCTCCGATACACGCGATCGGCCCGGGACGCAGTGATGGAGGGCACTAGCGGTAGTACTAGAAACTTTGTAACATCCTCTTTCAAATGTACTTTACAGAATTCAAATGCAACATACAGTTCAGGAAATATAGTCAATTGAAATTGTGTCCATCTTTCTGAATCACTCTGTATTTTTTGTTCTTGTCTCTTCAGAGTGAGTCATGTTGTGTTCTGCGATTAATAATCCCACCAGCTACGAAATTCGTGCTGTTATCCGTTTTCCTCATGCAAACTACGTGATTAGTGCGAAAATCCAACATGATTTTCGCGTGTAAGATTTGAGGCTTTCACGGCGGTGACTATGAAGAAAGCAGTCTTCTGGGATTTGGCACCGTGTATATGTGGTGTTAACCGACGTTTCGGCTTTACCGTTTCTCACGGTATTGTCGCTTGCAGAATTCTTATACTTTTTCTTCTACCCTGAAGATGGGGGCGATACGTTCCTCCGAAACGTCGGTTAACACCACATATACACGGTGCCAAATCCCAGAAGACTGCTTTCTTCATGATTTTCGCGTGGTTTACAGCCGAAATAAAATGAGTCAACGAACTGTAAGACAGTGGTGTAGAATGTTCAAAGATGGGCGAACAAATATTCACGCTGAAGAGAGGCAGGAAAAGTATGTTGTTGTTGGAAGTCATGAAAAAGGGGACCACAATATCGTCAGATGTTTATTGCGAAACTCTAAAATAACTGCAGAAGGCCGAAAATTCAGAACAAAATGCGTGGAATGCTGACATGCAGTGTGTTAGTTGTGCTTATCCATGATAATGCCCTTCCGCGTACAGCTGTTCGCACTCAAGCATTCCTGGAACATTTCAACTGGGGGTTCTTTTGACTGCCCTTCTTACAGCTCTGATCTCGCTCTGAGTGCCTACCATCTGTTTACTCTTACCTACAAGAAGAGCTGGCTGGGATCACAGTGCTTCAACAGTACTGAGGAGTTGATAGAAGTTGTCAAAACGTGACTGAGGTCACAGGTGGCAAGCTTCTATGAAACAAGCATAGACAAACTTATTCCCCCATAGAGAAGCGCCTCAGTTCCGGCAGTGACTATGTTGAGAGGTAGCTTAAGTATATACGTAATTTTTGCATATAATAACATTTTTTTCTAATTGTTTCTTTTATTAACAGCTCACAAGAATTAATTTTCGAATAACCCTCATATTAAGAACATTTTTTTTGCACTTAGTCCTACTACTGAAATACACTTTCTAGAGCTCATGACTTTCGTTACTTCTCCATCTCATATATAAAGCAACAACAGACTGCGTTCGTTCGCACTCTTCAATAACTTTTATTTTTCAGTCAGCATCACCTTCATTACAGAAAAGCTGTAGCTCAATAACACAAATTGTACAGATGTCAATACATATTTACATTAGCACCTACCGTGATTCAACTTCCACTGGAAGCTTGTCGCAGCCCTTTGTGTACAGTTGTGCACAATGCGTCTAGCACAGCCTATTGCGTCTGTACCCCTTCCCGTTCTTTTTTTTTTAATTGTATAATTAGTAATTACATTGGTGTACTCTCGAAAATATGCCCCAAATTTTGTTTTGGTGTTGTCATAACAAAGTTAAAATTTCTCTGTAATTTAGTATTCTTTAATTCAACCTTGAATAAAATCGAAAAAAATTCAAGTGTCTTTTGCTTGAATGAGTGTACGCCTAATAATTTCGTCTTGACACTTTTTATTAGAGCGAATAATCAAAATACAACTGATGTTAGAGTTTACACATTTGGTTCATCCCTATTTGCAGGAACAGAATTGGCTTCAGACAAGTTATTGTGGAATTCTTCTCTGATATATGGTCCAAAACATTCGCTAAAGTACTTTCAGATTTTGTCTGTAAGGAGGAATTTTTCGATGAAAAATATGCGAAACCGGTTCAGATGGGCAGTCAGTATAGCACAAATACTTGTCGTGCTTAACTGAATGGTATGCTAGCGCACCCTCTAGGGCTACAGAATTTCACCCAGAGAAATTATATAACTTTCGTAACTGAAAGTCCCGTTTGAACTGCCGCTTTGTGTTTCTTGTGCTGAAGGTGATCACTGATGTCATTACGTCACTCGTAGGAAATCGGAAATCATTAATAATAAAGCTCTAAAGTAAAGTAAGGTAAAAAGGCAAAGTTATCCCTGTATTTCATTAATTACTTAAGCATCACGCCTTGAAGACTTACTGGGGTGTGGAAGTATAGCTCAACCGTTCTTTATTTCGACACTAGATGAAGGTGAGTGGTGATCTTTACGGCCCTGTTGTCCTACCGCCGGAGAGAGAGGTGGATGGGCTCCAGTGACGGTCTGGACACTGTGGAGAGGAGAATATTTCTTCCTTCTCCCCGATATCGAACTCCTGTCATCTAGGCTGTGGCTATACCAACTGAGATATCCCTCTGCAGAAATAATAAAATGGAAATTCTATGCTTAGATTGCACTGAAAGCACACATGCACTGAAGTTCCAGAGTCAACCGACCCTAGCTAGGGCCACAAGGCACCGCTCCAGCCCACTAGTTTGAGACAACAGTAAGTCCCTTATCCACATGTTTTATTCGTGTAAGTAAGCTCTGTTCAGATAATAGGCTGTTTCAGAATAAATGTCTCCCTCGGGGAATAAGTTATGCTCTAAGTGTACATAGTTAATTTAAAATCGGGACGTATGGTGTCGCTATTTATGGGTCTGCCCAGCTTGAGCGCGATGGGCGTCCGATCCTTTGTCCGAGTCCGTGGCCGCAGAAACAAAATTGTTCCCGGAATAAACCGGTCTGACAGTGACGGGATCAGCGAATTCAGTTGCGTTACCGATCCACAAAGGGTGGAGCCTACTACATGCCTGGACAATCTCCAACCCCACTATCCTTACACCAGGATAATGCCAAATAATAGTCCATTGGCCATAACTGGGCCACCTGAGCCTTTCTGAAAGGGAAGGCCATTTATCGCTCATACACAGTGTAGACTCCTCTCCAGGAATCGCAGCGCGAAGTGGTGCCACAGAGTTAAGCGCAAACTCCTTTATCATTGATTGGTTTCTGTGATAGGCACTTGCGCGGCCGTGCCATTGCTCAGGCGGTTACTCGCTGGTTTCGCACGGCGGGGGCCTGGGTTCGAGTCCAGTTCAGGTCATGTGGGATTTGTGGTGGACAAAGTGGTAGTGGTGCAAGCTTTCTCGTTGTACTTCGCTTTCCCCTGCCATTTCGCATTCTATAGACTGCTCTACACTCATCATCTACTATCCGGGGCTGGTACAATAGGCCAGTTAGTGCCCGACGTACCGAGTGGACTCAGCCTCACTCCGCTCAAAGAAAAAAGAAAAAAAAAATCTAGACACACAAAATCAAGCTGGGAAACCCATAATATTGCCTTCGGATGTGAAGTCAAACGCACCTGCTGCGTGTCTGAGAATCTGGTTAGAATGATGGGCTGCACTTAAGATTTGAGTTTGAGCGGTTTCTTCACCTGGAGATGAAGACAGTAGCCACATCCGGTAAGTTGTCTGAATGATGGCTACCTGGATAAGTGAGTGGCTGAATTACTAGCCACGAAATTAGCACACTGAGCAAATAATAAGTTATTGAATATTCAGCAAATCATTTGACTGGCTGGATAGTTAAATTTGTTCTATGGAGCAGACTTTTCCTCTATCTCTTCTCTCCTCTAAAAATTTGCGTACTGCATACCCAGTTCCGAAGGAAAATAAATTATTGGATATTCCATTTATCTTTAGATCTTCCCAATTTTCCTTCTCTTCCAGTAACGTATTTTATTCTTGCTCTGTTTAGACGATTTTCAATCATCCAATGGCCGTGCTCCTTCCATTTCTGACGGTACTTCAGACATTTCACAGACGGTGCACCATTTCAGAGGTTGCTGCTGAATGTTTTCATGTCGGGCATCGTCTCCTTTCGTTACTCCAAACAGTAGTCTCTTGAATCTGACCTGTCCTGTGGCGCCCCGGTTTGGTGTTCCTCGGCTTTACTCAGAGTCCAGCACATCCGTTGCCATACAATGATGATGGTTTACTGACCATATTAAGAATTCTTAGCAGCCTGTCTTCCTTAATTTCCTTTCCTACGTTGCTTCTTAGTATCCATTTCTTCCAATAGACTACCTTATGATTGTTAACTCCCTTCTTGTTTTGAAGAGTTTTATATTATGCCATAAAACGTCGTGTTGAGAGTTGAAAATCAATTAACGTTTCGCAGGAACATGTCGCCTCCAATTTCAATATCAAGAGTA